CCTGGGGAGCCAGGAGGCTATCGCATCCCCTTCAACCCCAATGCAACCGGCTGTGGGGCAGCCATGAGGTCCATGTGCATTGGGCTTAGGTAAGAGGGTAAAAAGGTAAAGATAAAGGTTTCCCCTGACATTAAGTCTAGTCGTGCCCAACTCTGGGGGGTGGTGCTCATCTCCATTTCTAAGCCGAAGAGCCAGCGTTGTCCATAGACACCTCCAAGTTCATGTGGCCAGCATGACTTAATGGAGCATAAGAGGGTATGCGGTAGGAATGACAGAAATGCAAAAACAGTAGAATGGTTGATTCCTGATTCCTGACCAATGTTTTCCTCAGGTATCCACGTCCCTCGGACCTCAACACCTTGATTCAAGTCAGTGTAGAAAGCGGAAGAATGACCCATCACCACCCCACAGGTAGTGCCAAAATGGGGTGCTTCTCAAAGATGGGGGAGAGAATAAGATGTTGCAAAACTCTCGTCTGTTTTAGCTACAGCAGACTCATATGCTTCCAGAAACCTTAAAATGAACCGTTTTTAGGGCCCCTTCCCCAAAGCTGTATCTGTATTCCATATTTGAGGGACCATCATTCTCTATCTTAAACCATTAAAAATCATAGGAAGCTTTAGTTAAGTATTTCTATCAGGTCGTCATAGCTACTTGGGATAGGGGCAAAATGAATTACTGCAATGCTGTCAAATCAGCCTATGAATGAGACACCTCAAAGTGTATTGTATTACAACAGCTCAGGTCTTGCAAACTCAGGACTATTCCTTCCCTCATTGAGGCTCCTTCCACACAGCCTTATAAAATCTACATCGAACTGGATTATATGTCGGCGTGGACTCAGATAACCCAGTTTAAACCAGATATTGTGAATTATCTGCCTTGATATTCTGGTTATATGGTTGTGTGGAAGGCCCTGAGTCTATATTTCCTGTTTTATGAATGGAAGTACCTTCAAGCCACCTCTTGATGTACGGTATGTATTGATTAAGAAGAAATCTTCAAGATATGGTTTTAAATGCCAGTTCTTTCCTCTATAACATAACCTGATATTTGTTGGCAGTCTCTCATCCAAGCACTAACCAAGATCAGATAAGATCTGGTCCTTCTGGAGCATTTTATTAGCTAAATGTAATCTACATTGTCATGATTCTATGAGAATAAGTGGTCATAACATTCCAGCCTTGGTCAGCTTCGAAGATCAGATACGATCTGATCTTCTAATTTTAGATAGGATCTGGTACCTTTTGTACCAGTAAGGTAAAGGTAAAGGTTTTCCCTGACATTAAGTCTAGTCGTGTCCAACTCTGGGCGGTGGTGCTCATCTTCATTTCTAAGCCAAAGAGTCGGTGTTGTACGTAGACACCTCCAAGGTCACGTGGCCAGCATAATAGCATGGAGCACCGTTACCTTCCCACAGAAGCAGTACTTCTTGATCTATTCACATTTGCATGTTTTTGAACTGCTATGTTAGCAGAAGCTGGGCCTAACAGCAGGAGCTCACCCCACTCCCCAGATTTGAACTGCCGACCTTTCAGTCAGCAAGTTCAGCAGCTCAGCGGTTTAACCTGCTGCGCCACCAGGGGACCCTTTTGTACCAGTAGCTCAATCTACTTTGCCAGGAAGCTGTGAGAATAAGAGGCTGTAACTTTCTTACCTCGAAGCATGTTGATTCTCCTTACTTACTTTCTTTGTTGTAGGCTATCTGGGAGCTTTGGCCTCTGCCCTTTTCACTGCTTATGCAGTGCAAGGCCTGCCCCTTGAGTCCTGGGGGGCAGGATTGCTCAAGACCCTGCCCCTTGCCTTAGAATATGTTCAGGCTGCTGCGGAGGAGAAAGACCCCAATGTGGGGGCATGGGGCTATTTCCAAGAGAAATGGGAATGGTAAGTACTTTG